GACAAGACGCTACAATATATCCGGTCATTTGACAATACATGTATATATATTTCTTTCTTTTCCTCCTCTTTTTCCTTTTTTATTTTAAAGTGTGTGAATTTGATCTTAAACTCACGCGCAAAACAACAAAACAATAAAATATATATATATATATATATATATATATATATATATATATATATATATATATATATATATATATGCATGAAAATATATTGATAAAATAGGAAACAACCGTTACATAGATGATCTGAAGTTCTTTAGTAATTTTGTTTTATATTTAAAAAAAAAACAGTGTTCGATACACAAGTAGATCCTAAATTATAATTATTTTATTTAAAAATTATGATTCCATCGCTATAAATGAATTACCATGTTTCAAAAACAGGAGCTGAAAACTTCCAATTTAATTATAGAAATTAAAGTACCTTGTTTCGTTTTCCAAAATTCGCTTGAAAATGAAACATAATTAGGAAGATTTTTTTTAACTTCTGTTTTTGAAACATGGTAATTCATGTGTAGCGATGGAACCATATTTTTAAAATATATATATGTGTGTGTGTGTATGTGTGTCTGTATGAAGCCAACTGAAATACATACATGTGAAACAGCTAATGCTGTGTTCATTCAGAGATAGATAGATAGATAGATAGATAGATAGATAGATAGATATGGATAATTGAGATATATATTGAGAAAATTGAGATAGAGAAAAACATTTAGAGATAAGATATTTTTCTCTTCACAAATTTTGCTTTAGAACACTATATTCTTTCTCTAAATGCGTCCATATAGATAAAATAGCTGGCCACTCGTATTGAAGGATAACCATCTATTAGGGCAACTAGCCAATCCCTATTGCAGATTCTGGCTCAGATACATTTGAGAGTGTTCAACACAAATAGAGGCAACGTGTGGTTTATGCAACAACTATGCTGAGCAGACCTTAGTAACAACTTAAAAGAGACAGCTTGACCAACACAAGGAATGTTAAAAGATTCATGTTAAAAAGATAAAAAACAATAAAAAAAAACAAATGAAAACTACAGACAAAAGTTCATTTTCTCCATCAAGACATTTCGCTGCTACCAGCAAGCAGAGATATTTCTTCTCCTGATAATGGCCATGTTGGCCGAAACTAGTCGAGGAATCTAAATGAAATAATAATAAAAAAAAACGAAAGAATATTAATCTACAGTGTGTCTGAAGATTTTAATTTTTAATATTTTTTATTGTTCAATATATATATATATATATATATATATATATATATATATATGTATGTGTGTGTGTATGTGTGTTTAATGAGGTACGTACACATCGTTATAAAACATATATATACGTACTATCGTAAATACGATTGTGAAAATTTTCAAACAAAATTTATTTATATATTACGAAAACTTTTCCACATTGTTTCCTATTTTTCCATTGCTCTTTAGACTCTCGTCTGATAGAATAAAAATCTTGTACCTTTTTCATCATCATCATCATCTTCTTCTTCTTCTTCTTCTTCTTCTTTTATGTAACATAGACGATTACGTCTCTCGACAATTTTTTATCCTTTATTCCTCTTGTCAATGTCTCTTCCTTTACTGAAGCTCCAGCACACTGTTCCCGCCATCTCTTCACACAAGCTCGTCAATCTTGATTTTAGATTTAAGCGTTCTCTTTGTTGTCATTTCCTTAAAGTCTTCCTTGTTTCTTACTTGCCCTACTCGTGGAACTTCCAGTATTCTCCACATTTCTGTTGCTCCTAGACTTTCTTGATCCTTGGCCAAATTTTACAACATCCACTGCCATATAAGATGTTGTAAAATTTGCCTTATACCAATCCATACCAAACCAGCAATCTTCTTTGTCTATCATCACCTTGCATAGCTTTTGTAATACGTCTTTTCGCTAGTCCAATGCGAGTCCAGATCTTGATGTCGTACTTTCTATGTTCTGTTAAAACGCTTCCCAGATATCCGAACTTCTTCCCCTGATCGAGGCTTATATCTCCTATTCATGACTCCAATTTCGGGTTTATTCTCTTGTGGATGATCATCTTCTTGCAGCTAATAATTCATCCTTTATGTCCCGCTTACATTAACTACCCTGTGATGGATTTACTTTTCTTTACTTTCCGATTACGTCATCAGTACAGTTTTATATCATTTCCTTCTGCAGCATCCGTCTCCCAATTGACCGGATCAATTTTTGTCCTCAGCAAAGTGTTTTTGAGCTGATGCCTGAATCACCGTGGTCTCTAGCTATTTAAGTTTAGGTTATTAACAAATAATAAATACTGGTAAGGCCTCTAGCTTCTTTCGGATGGCGTCCCTGTGAAGGATGAAAAGAATTGGGAGAGCGCTGATCCCTGTCTCACACCTCTTTCTATTTTTGAATAACTGCTCAATTCATTTTCTATTCTTAGGCAGGTGGTTTTCTCGCATTATAAGTTCTGTATTATTCTAATGTTGTTCTCAAATAATCTTTCTGTACACATACACACACGAATTAAAAAAAAAACCCTCCCTCTCTCTCTCCGTGAATGTGTGCGTGCATGCGTTGTGTGTGCGTCTAAGTGTGTATGTTTGTGGTGATTACATTTTGAATTGATCGATTCATTGTCCTTTTAGCAATTCTTTGTTTCTGGTCAGTTTTTGTTTCATTTTGGCATATTTCCGCCTTTTCATATAATCTCGTTACGTGGCCATCTTAAGGGATCGATTCCACACTATTCTTAAACAAGAAAAGGCTCCACAGAGACCTCGCGGTTTTTTGTTTTTTTTTGTTTTGTTTTTTTTATTGGCAAGTCTGGGTTGGTCTTTTTTCGTTTTACATAACTTAATTATATTGAATTGTATTTCTTTGTCCGGAGTAATTCTTTGGGCGTTCCCTTCTTCTTCTTCTTCTTCTTCTTCTTCTTCTTCTTCTTCTTCTTCTTCTTCTTCTTTATATTTCCTCCTCCATTTCATCTTCATTTCTTCTTCTTTATATTTCCTCCTCCTTTTCTTCTTCTTCTTTATATTTCCTCCTCCATTTCTTCTTCTTCTTCTTTATATTTCCTCCTCCATTTCTTCTTCTTCTTCTTCTTCTTCTTCTTCTTTTTTTATATTTCCTCCTCCATTTCTTCTTCTTCTTCTTCTTCTTCTTTATATTTCCTCCTCCATTTCTTCTTCTTCTTCTTCTTTTTTTCCTCCTCCATTTCTTCTTCTTCTTCTTCTTTCTTCTTTCTTTCTTCTTCTTCTTCTTCTTTATATTTTCTCCTCCATTTCTTCTTCTTCTTCTTCTTGATATTTCCTCCTCCATTTCTTCTTCTTCTTCTTCTTCTTCTTCTTCTTCTTTATATTTCCTCCGCCATTTCTTCTTCTTCTTCTTCTTCTTCTTCTTTATATTTCCTCCGCCATTCCTTCTTCTTCTTCTTCTTCTTTATATTTCCTCCTTCATTTCTTCTTTTTCTTCTTCTTCTTCTTTTTCTTCTTCTTCTTCTTCTTTATATTTCCTCCTCCATTTCTTCTTCTTTTTCTTCTTCTTCTTTTTTATATTTCCTCCTCCATTTTTCTTCTTCTTTATATTTCCTCCTCCTCCTTTTCTTCTTCTTCTTCTTCTTCAATGATGTTGCAGTCACTAAATGCTCAGACCTTCTTCGGTGTCTGTTAGTTTACTAAAAAATTGAAATATATGTTCGTTCACGTCCCTTGCTGTACCGCTGAAACGTCAAATCTAACTTATCACAAATATACCTACCTTCATTTATCTGACCAACATAAAATTAAATTTTCGTATAGATTCTTAAAAGAAATCTCTGAAAGATGTTTCAAACTATTGAGTTTTCATATTTTCAGTCACATATGACCAAATAAATATACCCAGGTGCTAACTTCATTGAAAATGGTGAACGTGGAAGAATCACGAATATCCTGTTATTATTCTTCGGATCATTTTTCAAGGTTTGTAAAGGCTTCCCGAAATATACATCTTTTCCGTTTACCAAAGCAGGATATAACGCATCGTTTGACCGCTCAAGTTGCATGCAATAAATATCTGCAGTGAGGTTCCTTCCATATTCCATCCGTTCCTTAATGGACCTCAGTTTTCCTATTTCATCAATCATAGACTTCTATACATGGAGTCCTCGATTTCCTGTTGAGTCGTCTATCACATTTTATTTTAAACTGTTTTAGAACTTTATCTTGATATACGAAACTCATTTTTCATCACCTGTAACGATGGAATGTAAAAATGAAAGGTTGCTATTCCTAGTCAACGAGTGCTACCGATGGTTGTATTCTATTCGGCTCTAACTTTCCATCTTGGCAAGATTTCCCAATTAAAGACGTGCATTATAAAGGACTAAAAACAGGTCACAAAATATCTAGGCAGAGTGTCCTGTCAATTAACATGGTTCCTGTCTTTGTTGACCGAATCATCCTAAATGACCGGTTCCTTGTACCGTTCCAGTATGTACCTGACTCCTCATGCTCTCCTCTATATAAGAGCCAGGTCAGGCCGAAAATGTAGTAATGTCGTCATATTTGCACGGGATCTACGCAGTTTCTTGGAGAGAACGTGTTATCTAGCGTGATCAACAATCTGAACAAGGCTAACAGACTCAAATCCTCGGTCACGATGACTTGTGACTTCGGGTTAGCACAGCTGCCGGCAGACCCCAATGGTTCTGGCTACCCAATTTAAATCACAAAGATTAGGTCAACCCGTGCTATGGTTCTCAGGCATTTTCCAAATTTGCCGCACGGTAAGACCGATAACATTAGGAAGCCTACTTCCTGACAAATCATCCGTGGTGCCATTCGAACCCTTGATAGAGTTCAAAAGCATCTCCGAGTCCATGTTGGAGAAGAATTATTCTCCATCCTCTAACCTCTCCCTCATAGGCGGGATAAGACGAACCTCTCTCTGCTCTATTGCTACTTCCAGTGCGAGAAAAAGAAGTAGAAGAATGAGGAGGAAGAGGCGTGTGAGAAAGAGTAGAAGAGAGAGTGGTAGCAAAATTATAGGGAGCAGGAAGAGAGGAAAAGGGTATGAGAGGCTGATGTAGAGGGGCGTAAGAAGCCCGATAGGAGGGAGTATAGAGACAAAAGAAAAGTGCTAGAAGCATAGAAAGAGGGACTTTGAGATATAGAAATGGGAGTGAGAAGAAGAAGAAAAAGAAGAAAAAGAGGAAGAGTTTAGAAAATGACTATGAAAAGAAGAAAGAAAATGTTAGGAAGAAAGAAGACAGTGATTTGGTTAAAAATAAAACAGTTAAAATGATTCAAAACAAAGAATTCTGAGAAATGAGCAATGAAGGAAAGGAAGTTAATACCCAAAATATGGCAAACCGAAGTAACAAAAATAAACGAAAAACGATAAAGGAGCATATAAAAAAGATGAAATGAAAAGGAAAATTCTAAAAAGCTAAAACAAAGAATAAATCAAGCAATAAATATCAAAGAAAGCTAAAGAAAGAATTATGTTGATTTTTTTGTTTTTTTTTTTAAAAAAAGACGCAAATTTTTGAATAACTTAAAAGAAAATGGCCGACTAAGATTATGAGATTCTAAGTCAATTACACAAAATGAGATAAAACATTGGATAAAAGAATAAATACCACATAAAACTCAAAAAAGAAATTAGATGAAGATGAATGATGAAAGAGAAATTAGCAAGAATTAAATAAATAAATAGACAATAAAAAAGGATAATACCAGGATGACTGGATGGAAAAGGCATCGTGATTCTTCTGAAAACGAAGAGTCACGCGCAACATCTGAAGTATTTTTCTTTTTATTTCGCCGGTAATGTTATTATAATTATTGAAAACAAAATTAAAAACTCCACACACATTTCAAATTGCAAACAAATATTGATATTTCATTCTTGACACAAATAAATATTATCGTACAAGGAGTACGCTTTCATCAATATATCTGGTATATGGAGTTTTATAAGTTTATAAAAATACACAATAGCGAATACATACATGCAAACATAAATAGATCAATATATATATATATATATATATATATATATATTAAATAAAAAAAACAGACTACTTTAAGGTTCCATGTAATGAATTATTTCACCACAGCCCTTTAAAAGGACTGCAGATCATCAGACTTTTACTTCCAAACAGAAAACTATATATATATATATATATATATATATATATATATATATATAAAAAAAAAGAATTCTGAGAAATGAGCAATGAAGGTATTGTGAGACCGGAAACTACCTACACAATAGACTTTTCCAGGCCTATATTAAGCAGGCGATATAGCACTCATTCCATGAAACTTGTTCCATCTATGTAATTTCCAGAAGACCTTCGTATATCCGGTAACCAGTTTGATTCTCGTGACTAAATACAGCTCTATAACAGTGTGTCAAATAAGGCTACGGAGTCTATTGTTTTTCTCTTCACTCAATTTGTGGCGATAGCACCCGCTAATAAAGCAGAATGATTTGCTCGGAAATTCACTTCAAATGTTACTCTCAAACCATCTGAAGTATTATTGTGAGACCGGAAACTACCTACACAATAGACTCTTCCAGGCCTATATTATGTAGGCGACATAGCACTCTACAGAGTGACAGAGAGTGACACAGAGAGACAGTGAGGGTCTCGTACGACTATCAGTGTTGGACACTAACATATAGTAAGCTCCGCTTACACTATCTCTGTAACCTGTTGTTAATATATCTTTCTTACATCTAATGCATGTTCCGTGTTTTCCTTCTGTGATCCCAACTTCGGCCTCTCATCAGTGGCGACGAGAATTCGAGAAACTCACTAACGCCGAAACCTCAATACGTTATCAGTCCCACATCTGTGTCGACGAAGGATTCGACAAACGCATTCACGTCGAAAAACCGCAATACTTTGTCAGTCCCATATCAATGGCGGCAGAAAGATTCGAGAATTTCGTTCTCACCATATCAATAGCGACAGTACTCGAAAAATACACAAACTACACGCGTTCCCACAGCAGTGCTGAACGATAAATTAAGCTGGTATTACTACATTAGCGATTTAAAAGCTAAACACCCAGCGTCTACATATATCAGTGACGAGCAGTGTTTTGACATCGACGAAGTAATAAAGTCTGTCCAAATAACATTACGAAAACGATTTCTTACACACTCACACACAGAGAAAAAAACACTTTGTCATAAATCAAACTGACAATACTAGAGCGAGGTACTGCCATTGTACTCAGGTTTTCGAAAAAAAACCATCGAAAATTTTTTTATGTAACTGAGTTGACCTCGTGCATAAAATTATTCTCCCCTCAAATTCACTGAGGTGAGTTTTTTTCGGTAACTCTATAAAAAGAAATAACAATAAGTGTGGTGAAAATTGATACAATTACATTAAAATTAACGGAACCACGGGAAAAAAATCTAAACACATAATTAGTTTAGTTTAACTAATTGTCTGTCCATATTTTTTCTGTAAAAGAAAAAAAAAGGAACAAAAATCTATCAAGATTTTTTTTGCTGTACCTCCTCTTAGTACACGTGTTTCAAACCAACAAAAAAGCGCTGTCATTTTTAAATATGGAAGATTTGAAAAAAGTAGTTGCCCAAATGTTAAAACTAAATTTAGATCAGCAACAAAAATCAGAAGAAAGACAACAACAACTATTTTTGGAATTACATAAACAACAAATGGAATTCCAAAAACTTACGCTTTAGAATGCTGAACTACAACAGAAACAACTTAAAGAATTACTCGTAAATGCATTAAAAGGCTCAAACTCTGAAAAAGATATAATATTCTCCCAGAGTACAAACTACAATTCAATGGAAACATTTGAATACGTACCAGAGGAAGACAAAACGTTCCAGGCTTTTTACAGGCGCTACGAAGATATTTTCAACGTAGACTGTGAACAATGGCCCAGTAAAAAAAAAGTACGTCTACTATTGAGAAAACTGGAAACTACAGAACATAGTAGGTTCGTAGATTTCATACTACCCAAGAAAACGACTGACTTGGATTTTCCAGAGACTATTAAGCTCCTTTCTGAACTATTCGGGCCTAACACAACCCTGTTCCACAAACGTTGGAAAAGCCTGAACACACTCAAAGACAACCAGCAAGATTTTTTAACGTTTGCAGCATCGGTAAACAAGCTCTGTAAAGATTTAAAACTAGCCGAACTGACTGCCGATGATTTTAAGTGTTTAATTTTCGCACAAGGTCTAGTATCAGCAGAAGACGCCGAAGTCAGACGACGGGTACTGACCAAGCTTGAGAACGAACAAGGATTGACTCTCCAAAAACTGGCAGAGGACTGTCAAAGAGTAATATCTGCAAAGTGTGACTCAAACACTATCGAGGAATCAGGTGTGACGCAGATTAATAAAATCAGAAGCAAATCTACCTCCTATTCCCCTCAAAAAGACAAAAGGCAAATCTCATGTCCTAAATTACGCAGTAACCAAAACCCAAATAAGTTAAAGAAACCGCCCGGACCATGTTACCATTGTGGTAAATGGCATTGGATTAAATTCTGTCCAATTAAGAACAAAACATATTGCAAAAATTCCAATAAAAGTTATTCATACTTTATACTTAGTGCTGGTACGCCAACAGAACGAGAAAACCCCAAAATAAAATTAGGCAAGCTCAATCTGACAATATTGTCGATAGGAATTTTAGGAAATATGTAACTGTGGATATTTTCAATAATTCCATTAAATTCCAGCTTGACTCGGGTTCCGATCTTTCGACCATTAACTGGCGTAGTTGGCGAAAATTGAGCAAGCCGACCTTATTAAAAACGGATAAATCAGCAAAATCCGTAACTGGCGAAAAGATTAACATTTTAGGTGAGGTAATACTTACAGTAACACTAAATGGAGTTACCAAAAAGCTCAAAGCCTACGTATTGAAAACTTCAGATAACTTATTTGGAACAGATTGGATAGAAAAATTCAATCTTTGGGAGTACCCTATGAGTACATTTTGTCACAAGATACAAAGTACAACGTCCAATTTGGTAAATCTCAAAAAAGAAACTCAAACAACAATTTCCCCAGGTTTTTTTCTGGCGGCCTTGGGAAATGTACTAAAATAAAAGCTAAGTTCAAGGTGAAGGACGGTGCACAACCGGTATTCAAAAAGAAACGGAATGTCTCTTTCGATGCTCTAGAGCAAATCAACAAAGAGTTAGATAGACTCGAACAAGCAGGTATTCTGTCAAAAACAGATTTCAGCGAGTGGGCAGCACTTACGGTCTACGTAAAAAAGAAGTCCAATCAAATGCGAGCCAACGCGATCAGAAATGCCGGTCCCAGATAAAGTTCAAGCGTTACAAAGATTCCGCGGCCTAGCTAACTTTTACCAAGGGTTCATTAAGAACATGCAAAATTTGAGAGGGCCTCTCAACCAACTCTTAAAAAAGGACAAACCATGGTCATGGACTCAAAAAGATCAAGAAAACTCTTACTTCAGACCTCTCCCTCACCCATTACGACCTTAGTCTCGACATCATAGTCACAAGTGACGCAAGCTCGTACGGCATTGGTGCTTGCATTCTGCATAAACTGCCAGATGGTTCGCGAAAAGCTGTGGCTCACACATCAAGATCTCTAGTTCGATCTCGACATGTCCCAAGTCTCTCCTGAAGTGCGACGCTCAGGAAGGAAAAGGAAATTTAATCAACCGCTCGACGTAAATCCCAAGAGGAAAAAGTATTAAGTTTTATTTTTTTCTCTCTTTTTCAAAAAGAAAAATCTTTGAAAGTGGGGTATTGTGAGACCGGAAACTACCTACACAATAGACTCTTCCAGGCCTATATTAAGTAGTCGATATAGCACTCTAGACAGAGTGACAGAGAGAGACAGAGTGAGAGTCTAGTACGGCTACCAGTGTTGGACACTAACATATAGTAAGCTCCGCTTACACTATCTCTGTAACCTGTTGTTAATATATCTTTCTTACATCTAATCCATGTTATTTTTTTTAAAAATGGCCCCAACTTTATTTACATCAGAAGGAAAGGGAGCACACCACATATATATATATATATATATATATATATATATATATATATATATATATATATAATCTATTTAGGCAGCAAAACTTTTTTTCA